AACAAATGTTTAAAATCCAATATATATTCTATAATACATATAAGGGAATTATTCTATGTAGCCAATTGCTAATAAGAATATTGTATCATCCATGACATGTTAGATCACGTGACGCACCTATTCCACTTTTCTTGAAGTACACAGAATGAGAAAGCAAATTGTTGCATTACGCAATCAAAACATGAATGAAAACGAGATTGACATAATATTATATCCCTTGATTACTATTAAGTCAAGACATCATGACTAACAACTTAGTTTTATCAACATAGCATGTTCCCCTGTACAAAGCTCACACCCAGACATTGTTATGCCACATTACCATCAGGAAGCACTGCTTTCAGAGAGATGTGAGAAAAAATAACTCAACGCTTAAAGGCCTTCCAAGCCAAAGATTACCACACAGCAGATTTAAACACCCCATAGTAAGCTCGTCAACACACACATAAGAACCAAGATCAGCTCTGTCTTGTGAGCCAGGATACTGGCAAACCTTTCATCACATTGGTTTTGAGCGAGATCCATGTGTCTCAAAGTCTAATAAGTTGACTAATGGAGGCCGCATGAAGAAATGGAGGGTCTCACAGAGCATTCAACCCCGCTCTTGCGTACTAGGTACTGCGCCAACATACTCCATGGCTATGCCTGATTTAGCGTCCTATGTAGGTAGAAGAGTATGAATCAGGCTGAAACTACTTCTCAACATCCTTGGCCATGCCCATTACCATCTCTAAGCTCTTTTCGGCCCTTTCCCACTCCTCTCTCACAACGTTATGTGCCCATTCCCCCCTGGGCTTAAGGCGAAACTTAAATGGCTTTGGCTTAGTCATGAATCCGACAACTACCATTTCCCATGGGTCTACCTCCTCACCGTCGAATGCTTCTATATTAAAGGCCCAGAGCAAATATGCAATGTTCAAAAATGTGCCGTCAGTAGCGATACGCTTTCCTTGACAGACTCTTCTACCCTGACCAAACACCGGCAGAGGAAGATCACTACACAATCTGTCGTCATACATCCAACGCTCGGGCACAAAAGCTTCTGCGTCACCGAGTGCTGGGTCGAAAACCTTCTCGTCGCGCCCAATGGCCCATGCGTTTGCCATGATGGTGACGTTTTTGACAATTTTGACACCACCGAATTCATCCGCGCGGCCGGCACGGCGTGGAATGGATCCTGGAGATATTGGCCGCCAGCGAAGTAACTCATGTGCGGCGGCGTCGATGTACGCGAGACTGTTACGGTCTGAGAATCGAGGCAGACGATCGCGACCAACGACTTGGTCTAGCACTTGATGCGCGGGCGTCATAAAGCCAGGGTTCTGAATGGCGGCAACAAACAGCCAAAGCATCTGGCGCGGAGATGTCTCCATGCCACCTTGAATGGATGTTGCGAGCGCGAACGCAAGATCGAGATCTTCAACTGGGGAGTCTGGGGGCGCATGTTTCGGTGCAGTCGCAATGGCTTGTTTGGTGGCGTTCCAACCCGGCGCGTCCCTACCTTCACGGAAGAGACGCAGATAAAGATCCACTTGGGATTTGTAGATTCTATCAGCATGCTGCTGCCATGGTGAAATGACGGTGGGTAGATGGCGTAAGAAAGGCACAATGTCTGGTAGCTGTGGGTTTGCAGCTAAGTGGGTGACCTTAGCTTGAATATCCATGATCTCATGAAGTAGTGGATCTTCGAATTGGGCAATCCGAAAACCATAATGTAGGGCCAGAATGACGCTAGCCTGAGTCCGCTCAAAGAGAGGATATATGGCCTTTGTAGTGATTGTGCAGCCATTGGCAGACGCTTTCAACACTGTAGTGAGGTCGAAGAGAAGCTGCTTGGCCTCAAGTTCCATGAGCGGCTGGTACTTGCTTGCAGCAGGTGCACCGAGACTTGGTGAGAGAATGCGGTGATGCAGCTTCAGGTGTTCGTCATAGTCATGCATCAGCGTAAACCGAGAGCGTCCTGGTCCAGCCCCCGTAATCATCTCCATGCTGACCGAGGCCGGTCGATTACTGTACCATTGGCTGCGGCGACTGAAGAGCTCAGTGGCCGCTTCATATGAATTGAGGACGACGATAGGCACAATCCCAAAGAGTTTCGGAACTACAATCGGGCCCTGTTGTTTGGACCAATCACTCCAGTTTACCAGGGGCTTCTCGATCGGAGAGCTGTGAAGATCGCCAATCAGCGGCAGTTTGAGGAGTAGATTCCCCTTTAGACCATGTCTCTTTTGTCTGATGCAAAGATAGAGCGTCAGAGCGCTCACAGCTAGAAGTATAACCACTGTGGAGATAGACATGGCTGATGGCGAAAACCAGAGAAGTTCTAGGTGATGCACTTGTCGACGAGGATAAGAAAGACACAGCTATCATACGGCACACTGCGAGAAGCGCCATCCACCATTGTCACTCAGCATTGATAGGCTAACTGGTAGCTACATGTCTACCAAGTCGAAGGATGTGACCGCCTAATCTCTTATTGGATTCATATCCAGGACTGATTTGAGAAGCGACACGATTGGCCAGAATATGCAATGGGGTGGTTCTTCCGGTTTGCCTACTGCATGCTTGGCCCTTGGAAATCTGCATGTGGATGTGCCGCGACCCCACACGCTAGGCGAAGATTGAAAAAATTCTCGCTCTACTTCTGCCCACTGCTTCGACTTGGCGGACTACAAAACAGAAGATACTACAGGTCTAAGGTGAAGTAGGACGGAGAGGATTGGGTAAAGCATGATTTTTTCAGAGGACGCGCATCATCTGTACTTATGCACGGAAGAGATTTCCAAAAGTTCCTGCTAGCATTAATGTAATCAGGCTGAAGGGCAACAAACCGTAACCTTAGCCTTAACACTGCATGTTTCTCACAGTCCTTCTTGTAATACCCTTTTGTTGAGAGATGCAAGCAAAAATGTGCTCTCAACCATACTGAACTTATAGGTAATAAGTACTCGAGTGTTGAAAAATAATAATAAATACAAGAAATAGAGACTTGGCTCGAAAGTGCGAAGACTGACCCATCTACAGAGGTGGCTTTTAAAAGTTCTTGCTGACAGGGGTTCCTTGGTTACCACCGAAAATATAGCCGAAGACTAAGAATTATACTATATTCGCAACTAAAAGCCCTTAAAATGGAAGTTTGGAGAGAATAATAGCTACTAAAGTATACACTTACAGTAATACACTAACTATATTAGGCATTATTTCTTGCACGCTAAGTAAATAATGGAAACGTTATCACGAGAATTCGGTCCGATGGATCCGCGCCTTAGCAAGAACTTTTGAAAGCCACCTCTGTACCTGTACGTAGTATTTCGGAAGTATTATCGATGCCCCTTGTTGGCAAGGACCTTGAGAGATCACCTCCGTAAGCATCCGGATGTTGCATATGATCTTGTTCAAATACGTGAAAGCAGCATTCGGCTGCTCTCAATAACTTCCAAACTAAGGCTAATTATACCCAATGGCGTTAGTAAAACGACATTCAGTGCTAAAGTGGTGAAATATTGCTTACACTGTCAGACAGCAAATGCCACATGACGTTCCTGGCAGGTTGACACGCCTCCTTTTTCACCGTGGAGCAACACCCACCTCCTGACGAACAACACATTACATGTCGCAACAGCCAAGGCTTGCTTAAGAGCTGCAGGGTTGCGTATCGGATGTTGCGCAACTCGCACGATCC